CAATCAGCCGGTTCCCTCGTTGTGTTTTGTATACCACCTCCATGAGATCTGGAAGCTCTCTGAATAGAACTTAGCTCATTGGCTGGCATTGATCATCTGACACTCTAGAACAATGGCCTGGCTCTGCATAGCAGGGTTTATTTTAGGAGAGCAAATGGGAGCTCCATGCCAGAGCAGGATTTAAAAAATCAGTTGGTTTATCCATGTTAAAACATTGAGATTTCATATTTTATTCATCATTGTGTACTGAATTGCTGACAGTTAAGATCTGCTCGGGAACTCCGAGACATGTTCTAGTGCTGCACTAATAGGACTCCTACAATGCACTGTATCTTATTGGGTTCTTAGAATATGACCTACCACTAATATAGTAAATAGTTCATGTGATGCTATCCGGGTTATTCACCAAAGTGAGAATTCAAAGTGAACTGAAATTTAAGGTCAAAATAGCTAAAATGGAGAAATTATCTACATCAGCTATGCTTTCGATTTATTTACTCTGAAACAGTTTGACTACTTGCAATGGTGGGAGTGCCATGTGCTTGGAGTGTTGATATAGTGTGTCCTCTGGTCAGAATGTGAGAATATTTTTATTTACATATGGCTGACCCAGCAATGTGTTGACCTAAAAAGATCTTTGTCTAGGAGTCTCGATATGGTAAGCTGGTTCGTGCTGGGCCTTCATTCATCTCTTTCCCTGTTGCTATTTGCAATAGTTTTTCTTTTCAAACTATTTTTATTGAACGGTATTTTAAAAAACATACTTCACATTAATTTTGTATATAAAGAAATCAACATTTAATAATAGTAATGAGTAGAAATAAGAAGGGATGGTGAAAAGAATAATGATCGAAAGGAAATTTAAAAAAGGGGAGGGAACAGGTACTATCAAAATGTATAATAATAAAATAGTGGATTTGTTTCTGTCAAATATAATACAGAGAGTGATATAACCAAATGTATGTCTGAATATATTGTATATCAATATGTAACAGGGCATGTGGAATTAACTACAGGAGAAACTCTTAACTTATATCATTTTCCCAGGCATCCCAATGAAACTGCAAATAAGCTTTTTTAAGTGAGGATTGCCGCAACGCCAGTTAATACCTATTGTTATCGAGCACTAAAATCAGTGCTTCCTTAATTGATAGTAAAGTAGTTGACTTCCAATAACAAGGTATGATCGATGTGTCCGCAATAAGAATGTGGCCTACCATGATTCTATCTAATTTACTTGATGTCTCAGGGAGATTTTGAATAAACCCACCTCTGGAGAGAATGTTATAATTGACAGATCTATCTTTTTAATCAGTGAATGTATTCCCTGCCAGAACGGCTACAATTTTGCACAGTGCCACCATATATGCTAAAGACTACCAAGGCCTCCACAACCCCTCCAGCACCTATCTGAATATTTTTTGTTTGCTATAGTCTTTCTATAGTCTTTCGAGTACTAGCTGTTTTACACTTTTGTAGAATTGTAAAGTGGTGCACAATACTTTGGCATAATATAATTTATGACAATAATAAAAATAATGACTTTAATTTTTGCCCATTCTGGAATGAAGATTTATTGATTTTGCTATTTATTTTCTGAAACGTACTCTTCTTTATTATCTGCATCTCCAAAGACAAACCTTATAAAAAGCTTTCCTCCACATTGGTCGAAAAGACTGTGTTTCCACAATTCCCCTAAATTGCCATGCTGTTTATGTAAACACATATACATTTTGGTGTGGCCAGGACTGGCCATTGGGTAAGCCTGGTAATGGGACACAATGGCCATAGATCAAGGTCATCAAGGTAGGTCAAAGGATCTCGACTGCTGGCTCAAAGTGAGGGTGCTGTGTGTTTTCATGGGTTGATGGGTAGATAAAATAACTTCTTCACTGGCACAGTGCACCCTACTGCATCTTAGGGTCACTATAGTCTGCAAATACTCAGACTATATATATATTTTTTGCAGTGAGCTCTGGCCACTCAGTGCGTTACCTCAGGTATCCACAGCAATGCTTCGATATTACATACTACTGGAGCTGGCAAGATGCACGCAGTCAATCTGCACCTAGTGGAGGTGTAGACTACAGTCTCTAGCCACTGGACTACCAGGTATTTGCATGGCCAAAGGTTAGAAGCCAGGAAGGGGTATAAAGCTTTCTTTTTTTTTTTAAATAAAAATAACAATGAAAAAAATATTAAATTGCTGCTCTGAAAATCACACCAGGAACACAGACATCAAATTCCCTATTTCAGCATCTATCCCACCCCACTCATTCACACAAACACTTCACCTACTTCACACACACACACACACACACACACAGATTTTCTTATATGTATATATATTCCCTATACACACACTACATCCCCTATATACACACACAAACATCCACTATACACACACACATGCACTACATTCCTTACACAGACACAAGCACACATTCCATAAAAACACACAACAGCCCCTACACCATATCCTATACACACATTATAGCCCCTATACACACACACACACGCGCAGCATAGCCCCTATACACACATGGACACTATCTCTCTACAGCCTCTAGATATACAAACACAACAGAAACAGATCTATTTACACACACATGATGACACCACAAACAGCCTCCAAATGCATGCAGAATGTCCTTTTGTCCTCTGCTATGCGAATATTGGAGACAACAGAGACAAGTCACCAGCAAACACAGTGCAAGCATTTGTTTAAATTAGTTTGAGCTGTGGAAAACAAACACGAGGCATTTTCCCCATGAGAAAGCTCTTCAGCAGGGCTCTGTGTTCTACCCTGGAAGAGCATTGATCTAATATGTTCAATTTGGTGTGAATGTGCACGTCATTGCTGATGATACAACATTATTTTCCCAGTACGACCCTGTGTATATGTGTACATGACATATTTTTCATATACTGAGCACTTTGTAAAAGATGTATAATCTGACAGTTATTTTCTTTCTATACATACTGCATTCTATATACAAAGGGTTTTCTGTTTCTTAATTCTCACCCATATGTCTGAATAGCTAAATAAACTCAGACTACCTGCTGGAAATTCCCCGCTGTCAGATTTATGTTCTAACCTATGACACAAGAAACACATGAACAGGTTAGAGAAATGTTTTATTAAAAGAACCAGACTAATTACACCATCCTATAGCTACCTCTTCACGTGCGGTATACTGTAATGAAATGGTATGCGTGCCAACTTAATGTGCCAATATTTCTGTCCAAGTTATTAAGTTAAACCATCTGGCATATAGCTCTGAATATTTAATGAACTCTCCTTTTATTTATAGGCAAACACTAAACTATGACTCCTGCCTCAACCCCTTGGCGACAATTGACATACACTGCCATACTTTCCAACGGTGGGAGGCAGAGGCGTAACTCGAAACTATGGGGCCCCAGTGCGAAAATTGCCCTTAGGCCCCCTCCATGCGTCTACCCCCCACCCCATATATCCCCGCCCCCCCACACACACACATGCAGACACACAAATGACACACACACTGTCATGTAGACACACACATGTAGACACACACATAAACATGCACATTCATACGGACACACAAACACGCACATCCATACAGATGCACATACACACATACACACAGAGACCCATACCTACAGACACACAGACATGTAGACACACATACATACAAACAAACACATGCACATACACAGGGCCGGCCTTAGGCGCCCTGTGCGAAAAGTCTTCACGGCGCCCCCACCCCTTCAACAAGTTGCCTTATATATACAGTCACACACACAGGCAAAGGCAGACAGTCAAACAAACAGTTACAAGCAGACAGTCACACACACAGTTACAGGCAGACAGTCACACATGCTCAGTTACAGGCAGATAGTCACAGAGCCAAACACACAGTCAAAGGCAGACAGTCACACACAGTTACAGACATGCAATCACACACACAGTTACAGGCAGACGGTCATACACACAGTCACAAACAAACAGTCACACATACTCCTTTACAAGCAGACAGTCATACACACTTGGTTACAGGCATGCAGACACTCACGCTGATAGGCACACATACAGGCACAGCTACAGCGACACACACAATTGGAGTCACACACAGGCAGACAGTCACACACAGACAGTCACACACAGGCAGACACACACAGTCACACACAAGCAGGCAGTCAGACAGTCACACACACAGTCTCACACACACACAGGCAGACAGTTACACACACAGTCACACACAAAGACAGACAGTCACACAAACAGGCAAACAGTCACACATAGGCAGGCACACACACACACACACACACACACAGACTTACCTCTTTCCATTATAGCTGGAAGGGAGAGTGGAAGCAGTTAGTTATTGGGGAAGCAGGGACTCCTTCCTGCTTCCCTCTTCCTGTGCAGCATTTACCAGGGACTTCGGTAATCCCTTCCCCCGCTACTCGGTAAGTCCCTCCCACACCGCCTTGATTTTTTAAAATTTCTTGCTCCCCTGTCACCCGGCCATGTGTGAGCTGTGTCGGCCACAAGGCGCCCCCTGGTCCATGGCGCCCTGTGCGGCCGCACAGCTCGCACACCCCTAAGGCCGGCCCTGCACATACACACGCACACACACATACAGACACACATACAAACACACACACACATACAGACACACATACAAACACACATACACACAGACACACACGCACGCACGCACGCAAAATGTTTAAGTCACTTCTTTGAGATGGAGTTATCTGGGGGCCTGTGGAGTTCCTTTAATAATAATAATTATAACTTACAAAGAAGCTAAATGTCATGCCTCCGAGCAGGTCAGAGAAGAGATGATTACAAGGGTTACTGGTTAAAACTTTGTTGTATTAGACATAACAAATTTACTGAAATAAAGAATAAAGGGCAGTCTGCCACAAACAGGATACTTTGAGAAAAACAGGGTTTAGGCGATATGCCATAAACAAGATCTTTAGAAAGTAAATGAATAAAGTATTTTGTATACAAGCAGGCTTGAAGTTATACCAAGTAGTTAGGGATTTCCAGGATACTTTGCAATGCAGCTAGTTATAGGTAAATACCTTTTAGGATAAAGCAATACAGGATCATGCAGAGTTGCAGAGGTTGAAACAGGTAGGTATATTCCAAAATAATATAATGCAGGTTGCTTACGAGATCATGCAGTGATGCAGCAATTGAAGCAGTTAAGATTCCTTAATGAAGGCAATACGCCACAAATCAGGATTCTTGGAAGCTGATAAGGAAAGGCTTTCGGTAAGATGTAATTGAGGCAAGTTCAGGATGAAGTCATGCAGGTTAGTGCCTTTCAGTATGAGGAAAGGCAGATGAGTACAGGATGAGGCACTGCAGGTAAGTTCTCTACAGAATGAAATAATGTAGCTAAAATACAGGATATTACCAGGAACAGAGATTCTTTATCAGAGCATAGACTTCATCTTTATCAGAGCATAGACTTGAATGTCAAGGCCCTGTTGTGCCTAATTAGTTAATCCAGTTGAGGTTATAAAGGTGAGTGAATAGATTAGTGGCTAGGGAGGCCACTAGAGGAGAAAATCATGAAGTTCACTTAAAGGGCCAGTAATAAACGAAAAAGTCTTACATGTCAGTTTTGAAACCTGACACTAAAACTACTCCTAAAGCTGTATTGTGATTAGATAAGAAATGTTCTATTCAATGTTTGGATCTCAGCACAAGCCCTTCATTGCGATGTCAGCAAGTTGTAAAAACACCAAAACACTGACTGACTGTCTTTTTATGACTCAGAGCTGGAGAATCCCAAAACACAACATAGTGTGACTGCTAAAGCCATTCATAGCGATTACAAAACCTGGAGTCATGTGCGGCACTAAGCCTTCTCCTTTCCTTTGTTTGTTCAGTTGCACGTCTCAGTGCCCAGAGTTGACATTAATGTGTACTTTTCACTTTGTCGGTATTGGACTTTTGCTGAGTAAATGACAGGGGAGACAGAGGAGCTAAATAATCATAACTGTGAACAACTAAGCTGATGTGCAATGAAGTCACGCAGGACTGCTTACAGCGATATTTCATTTTGCTATAGTGCCTACGCACATTTTGGAAGAGGTTCCCCGTCAAGCGTTTCTAGGAAACAAAAAGACAAGTTAGTAGAACTGTCACAAAATACCAGTATATGAGGCTTTCCACTGCTGGTAGATGTCACTCACCAATGTTACGTAGCTTCCAGGTCTAGGGACACCGGTGATTCCATGCCTGGAGAAGATCAATGGCCAAAAGAAATTGCAAATGTTCAGGGACTTTTGGATTTTTTATTTATTTGCCTAATTTGTGCACCACCTCATTCCAGACATGGCATTAGAGATTGCTAAATGAGTTTTAGCCACGATGCATTTAAATGGCAACACTGCACAAAAACAGACCTATTCAAACATACACATTATATACAAATAAACAAACATTCACACAAATGTACTCCATGCAAAAACACACTTACATTCACAGACACTGCATACAGATAGAACACTACACAAAAACAGACCATTTCATACATCGGCATTATATACAAATAAACAAACATTCACACAAATATACTCCATGTAAAAACACGCTTACATTCACAGATACTGCAAGGATGGATAAATAGCAGATCCACAGCTGGCAAAGCATCATAAGATTTGCACGGCAGGTGAGGATCCTACTAGCCACCTTTGCTCTATAGCGGGTAAAGGGACCCTTAAAGGGACACTCCAGGCACCCAGACCACCTCTGCCCATTGGAGTGGTCTGGGTGCCAACTCCTACTACTCTTAACCTGCAAGTGTAATTAAGTTTTTATAAACTGCAATAATTACCTTGCAGGGTTAACTCCACCTCTAGTGGCTGTCTACTAGATAGCCACTAGAGGGCACTTCCTGGTTTCTAGCATAGGTAACTTGTGGTAGAGCGTCGCTGGACGTCCTCACGCTGTGCGAGGACCTCCAGCTTCACTCATTTTCCCATAGGAAAGCATTGAAATGCATTTTCAATGCTTTCCTATGGGGAGCGCTAATGCACATGCGCGGCATTGCCACTAATGTGCATTAGGTCATCCCGGCTGGTGGGCGGGATCAGTCTCGCCCACCGGCCGACGCAATCAGGAGCGGCGCGGAGGAAGAAGCAGCGACGTGGGACATCGCCGCTGCCTCTGGTAAGTGACTGAAGGGGTTTTCACCCCTTCAGCAACCGGAGATTGGGGGGTGGGAGGGAGAGGGGACCTGCAGTGCCAGGAAAACGGATTGTTTTCCTGGCACTGGAGATTCCCTTTAACAGATTCTTGCACAGGGGACCCGGAGGTTTCTAGTTAGGCCCCTGGCTGCGTAGGCAGGGATATGAAACACAGTTTAAAGGCTTTTATTGCACCCTGAGTAGACAAAAAAAAAATCATGTTTACACATTTGTTGTCAAAATCCATTGGTGCTTACATGACTCAAAATGTGACAATTTTATTTTATTAATGCATGTTACATAAAAGTATCTCCGATTTATTTTTGTTTAGTGTATATGATTTCAAAATCTGAATACACACTTATTATTCTGTATTACAGTCCACTCATCCCACAGAATGCACCAAGTACAATTTATGATCAATAAATGAGAGTAAATAAATGAATGGAGAGGAATGATAAAGGATATGGGGTAACAGAAGCATTGCTAGATTACAAAAGTATGTGGGTTAATCCTACAACAAAACCATAGGCGTGCGCATGGGGTGTGCCGGGTGTGCCTGGGCACACCCTAATCCCCGTGGCACGCCTACGTATATTGAGACCGGCAGGGGAGATCTCAGGATCTCCCCTGTCGGCTCATGCAGAGCCGGCGCTATCCGAGCGCCGGCTCTGCTCTCAGCCTCCCTCCCCACCGACCCACATGCATGGAGGGAGGCAGGAGAGGACCGGTGGAGCTCTTGCCGGCAGCTCCGCCGGGTTCCTCTCGCGAGATATGACCGTTGCCACGGGGCTAGAGTTCACTCTCCACTGGACCACCAGGGATGGAAGCAGCAGCAACAAGGATCCCCCCTCCCAGGCATAAGGTAGGAAGGGAGGGGGGACATCAAGTAGTGTACCCCCACCTCCACCCCCCACAATCACCCACACACACAGCACACACAAACATACACACAGCACCAACACACATACACAGCACCAACACAAATACAGCACCCACAGACATACAGCATCCACAGACATACACAGCACCCACAGATATACAGCACCCACACACATACAGCACCAACACACATACAGCACCCACACACACATACAGCACCCACACACACATACAGCACCCTCACAAACACACACAGCACCCTTACACACAGCACACAAACAGCACCCCCCCACACACACAGCACACTAACAGTACCCTCACAAACACAAACAGGACCCAAACAAACACACACACAGCACACTACCAGTACCCTCACACACAAACAGCACCCTCACACACAGTACATTAACAGCACCCTCACAAGCGCACACACACAAACACCCTCACCCACATAGCACACTAACAGCACCCTCACACAGCATACACACACACACAGCAGTGTGTGTATGTGTGTATATTTGTGTATGTATGTGTGTATACATATATATATGCGGCGTGTGCTTGTGCTTTAGGGTGCACATCCTAATGCAACAGGCTGCGCACGCCTATGAACAAAACAATGCAAACCTCCCTTCTCTGTGTCTTCTGTGGCTCCTCTTATATTATGTTTTACCCCATGTCTATACACCAAGTGAAAATCTATTGTTAAAATAAATTAATTCCTTAACAATATCAACAGGGCAAGCTAAGGGAGGCCAGGCAGTGCCATCATTTTTGCTATGCCACTCCAAAATGGTTTGACAAAAATACAAAGGATGGTGCCCATAGACTCATAGCACCATAACCACTTCCATGAGCTGATGTAGTTATGGTACTCAAAGGACCCCGTTAAATAAAAAGGTTTTTAGTCTGTGTTAATACATCTTATTATGCAAAAAACTGCTCAGATGGCATGTCCTCCAATATTATGACAAAGTCCTGAAATGTTTACACATGTTTATATGTTAAAATGTTTACAGAACTGCCTTTAAAATGGAAGAAAATAGAAAGGTTCAGCCATAGCAGTCCCCTTGGATGCTTTTGAGTTTTGGAATGAAGGACAATACATTACCAAATAATGATCTGCCGTCACCATCTGGCAAGGGGGTAATCACTAAACAATACAGACCACTGCCTCGCCAACGTTAGAGAAATGCCTTTTAGTGGATGCAATCTAATACATCACCGGAGAAGCTTGCAATCGTTACAGAAGTCCCAAACAAATCTTTTGTAATAAAGGGCAACTGTCCAGATGTCAGATTGTATAGATTAAATGGTTGTTTTTTTTTACACTGGATTTTAACTACAATGATTTAAACCAAATGTTCATAACTATGACTTTTACAAAATTAGACAGATACAAAGACACTCACTTGCCAGTTGAAAAATGTTCCTAGCCTCTCGTATCTAGAACTAAATGTTACACATTGTTGGTGAGAAGAGAATGAAAAGATAGTTCATGGGAATCTTGACGTACAATTGAATATTATGTTAGCTTTAGTGCACTAATAATCTTAATATTAATAATGACAGGAGGCGAATATTTTGCTTAATCTTTCATTACTAACTCCATATAGCCACAAAGTAAAGTAATGAGAACTGAGAACCAATCACAAGCAATGTATAAAAGAGGTGTTTATAACCGAGTCACTTCTTCTTTAACTGTGACATCACAAGTCCATGAATCCACTTGAAACCGTAAATGTAGGCGCTTGTGCTTTAACTCCAAACAACGAACATAAGGACCAGTATTCCAGTAATAGGACTGTTGACGATCACCTGCAGTGTCCAATTAAGCTGAAAGAGAGTATAAACAGTTTTAGTTCACTAAATGGGTTGCATGAAGCATGCGTCCTGACTGTCCTGCACTGGGAGTTTACAATTCACCATCAAACTAATCTGTCTAGCTGGACTTAAAACCAGTCCCACTCCCAAGCAAACCAAACCCGAATGAACAGGGCAATAAAACATAGCAATTTAAGAGGTAGACACATAAACAGGCAAACACAATATAGTTAGTGATACAGGGAGGGGGAGATAGAGAAGAAGCAAGAGAACGTAGGAGGGAGAAATATTCGCCTCCTGTCATTATTAAATTTAAGATTATTAGTACACTAAACTTAACATAATCTTCAATTTTACCACATGACAGGAGGCTTCATATTTTGCTATTTCAACGCT